TTACTAATCTCCTATGATAATAATGTGATTTCGTTCCTTTTGAAACGTTATATGCGAGGTTGATGAATGTACATGGTGTATTAGTCAGTCACCCGCCGTAGAACGACTTTCACTGTTGCGGAGACTTCAAACCATTTCATGTCATGTGTTTGCATGTTTCTCGAAAGTCATTATCATAGATAGGTAAATGACATCAAATGGTTACCTACTGAATATAATACAAAATTTTGGAATTCAAATTCTTCCAAATGCTTTTGCAGGCATTGTATTTCGTATGTTTTAAATAATGGTAATAATAAAGGTATACGTTAATTTTGTTATATGTGCTTTGAATGATGTAAATTTAACAGAAGCAGAGTAAACGGTATTTTCACAGACCTCCTATCGAAGATAGATCTAGCGTGGTGCTTTATCGTGGTGAAACGATCCTTGAGAGAGCATTTATTGAGATTTTTCAAGGTAGATAACCAGTGTCTATTCATTCTATCCTTGAATGAATAAAAAATGAATAATTGATAAATGGACCAATATTGCAATGTGAAATATATGTCTCTTAATGGGACCTCCATATAGCTTTACTAAAAGAAAGAGCATACAGTCGTACGTCAAATGAATACATTAATTGCTTATATGATATTTTATGTTTTACGATTTCATTATTTCTTCACGATGAGGGTGACGTCACGTGGTTCTGATCAGTCGACTATTTTTTTGCTCTGCAAAAATCGATACAAATCACCTATTTTGAGATGGTTTCAAAAGTTCATATTTGGTCCTGTTTGATGTGGTAGAACGAACAGGCGGAATATTGGACACTTTTTGGAAATTTTACTCTAGAAAGTGTGATTTGAGGCTGTCTGATTTTCTGAATATGGACTGAAAACGCCACAGTGACTACTACTCACCGCATACTATATGTAACTATACGTATACCTGGATCTCTATGCCCGTCAAGTTGTACATATATTTGTAAGCATTGTCAGCTTAAACATGCCTGGACCGGACAAATCTACTGGAGTTTCGACAAGAGGTAGCTCGGTCAGTAAAGATAGACGTCAGAGTGGATTTGGTAGTGAGGTGAAAGACAGAAGGACAGTGGAAGATAGATTAGACGAACTTCTTTCCTCTATGCTAACTCGGGAATATCTCGACAGGAAGATTACCCAACTGAAGGAAGACATATGTGCGGAGAATAAAGAAATCACAGATCGCCTGGAGGGAAGAATACATGACCTGGAGACGGATAATGAAGATCTCCGGAAAACTGTTGAAAGTTTAGAAGGAGAAATCGGAAGATTACATGCAGCGAGAGGAAAGGCAGATAACAAACTTAACGACCTTGAGCAGCACGGAAGGAAAGATTCTCTGCGGATTATGGGCCTGGAAGATACATCGGAGAAGGAATCGGTTGAAGAGTGCGTGGAGAAAA